CCGCCTCGCCCGCAGAGAAACCGCGGCGCCCCCTCTGGAGCAGAGCTCCGCAGCCCAACGCCGGCCTTTGCACAGCGCCTCGGGCTCGCCGCTCAGCTCCGGCCGGCCGGCCTTCCCTCCCTCCGGGCACACGGCTAGAGGGGAGAGCACGCCCGACTCCAGCTTCCACGCCCTCCCACAGCAGAGATCCCCAGCTGCGCAGACGCCCGGGCGCTCCTCCCCAGCACCACGGGGCTGGCCCAGGAAAAGCCACTAACCCACCCAGCCCCAGCAAACACTCCGCGGGAAGCCCCTCTCAGCACTGGCCCAACTCCTGTTCTTGGGGACACTAGTGTGAACCCAGAGCAGCTGCAGGGAGTCAACGAGAGCGAGTCCAGATCCCTGGGGCGGTCGATGAGCACATCAGCTGGGCCACGGCTCTCCTGCCACGGGGGCACTTCCCCCGCTCTGCTGATCCCAGCGGGGCCGGCTCAGCAAGCCCCTGGCGACCGGCCACGGTCAAACCCAGACCAGGCCAATCTCACTCTCAGGCCCGTCCCCCGGCCGAGGGGAGACCGCCAGGGCCGAGGCACAAAGCCCTGGCACAGCTCTGGGGATTGCCAGAGGCCTGTGTGTCCAGAGAGACCGACGGGGGAAGGCCTCACCCCCGGCTGTCCCCGCTGAGCACTGGAGGAGGGCGGAGGGGACAGGGAGCCCCCCGCCCCATTGCGCCCTCTGGGCCCCGCGGGAGGAGCAAAGCGGGTACCCGGGACGTCATGAAGAGCAGCTTGGTCTCCATGTCCGGGGTGAGGCGGCAGGCCAGGAACTTGCGCGAAGTTCTCAGCTGGAGGAGCTGCAGGACACCTGGGAAGAGGAAAGGCTCAGAGGTCAGTCCCGCGTCCCCCGACCCTCCTGCCTGCACGGGCGCCAGGCTTCCGGAAGAGACGGAGAGCCGCTGAGGCGCCTGCGCTAACCACTAGCCATGCTGCCCCCAGAGCTGGGATCCCGCCCGAGGCCGGTCTGGGCTGTGGCAGG